ACGTTCCCCGGTCTTGACACCACTAAGTGGGTAAATTTAATCTGACCAATCCGGAAGGGACTAATCAGGACCATTCAGTTTTCAGGTTTAATGGCTGTTTTGATATCCTCTTCCCCAGCCCCTCCATCAAGTTTGACTTTGACTATGACTTTGTTAACTGGTGGGATTCTCTACCGTAAAAAGCTGTACAGGCCACATCACTGAACATATTTAAGAAAGAAATGGATTTCTACAGGTAAAGGTGACCAAAGGTTTGGGAAGAGAGTGGAAGTATGACATTGAGATAGACGATCTACCATGGACATGTTGAATGGTGGAGTGGGCTTTGATGGGCTGAATAATCTACTCCTGCACCTATTTTTTTATGAAACTAAGCTGTATGAAGGTTAGTGTGTAATGTGTTAATTCATTCATTTTATGTTTATTGGATCAACTGCCTTAACAAAAGCGTTAACATTTGAAAACCATTTAATTGAGCTGTTATACAGTGCTTACATTCATTATTTTATGAGGACTCGTGTATTTTACACTTTCCACACCCAGTGTGTGGGTTAGCCATTAAATTGAAATACTCACCATCTACCCAATCGGCAGCAGTTTTAACCTGGTTTTCAAAGGTTTGGGCTGCCCTCCTGTGTTAGACTGGAATCAATTCCATTTTTGCGCATTAAGGTGGTGGTATTTCCATAGAACACTGGCAACGTTCCAATATGGGTCATAGACAGCCAGTTTATGATAGCTGAAACTTGGAGCACTAGAGAAGTCTTTCCAGATAAGTTTAATCACTTCCTTTGTGGGACCAGAAGGGAAGCATTGATCCCTATTTAGCCTCCCAACATCCATCTCAACCAGGGGAAACCATTGGCTCCCAGTAACTCCATATCTACTCTGCTCTCTTCTTTACCAGCCCTCTTGCCCCTCCAATCCCCTTTTCACTGTAGGCCACATGATGTCCATGCTTTGGCAAGGAACATAAGAACATAAGAACTAGGAGCAGGAGTAGGCCGTCTGGCCCTTCGAGCCTGCTCCGCCATTCAATAAGATCATGGCTGATCCTTTCGTGGACTCAGATCCACTTACCCGCGTTCTCACCGTATCCCTTAATTCCTTTATTGTTCAAAAGCGTTTACTGAAGTAGCGTCAACTACTTCACTGGGCAAGGAATTCCATAGATTAACAACCCTCTGGGTGAAGAAATTCCTTCTCAGTTCAGTCCTAAATCTGCTCCCTCTAATCTTGAGGCTATGCCCTGACAGCCTGACACATTTTAAAATGGACCAGCTTCTCCTGCTGCCATTTCTTGACAGCCTGGTTGATCATTGTGTCGCTGCACAGCTTTGAAGTTGAAACTCCCATCTTAATGTTCACACACAAGACTTCGTCCATTGTCATCTCAAGGCTTAGGGTTTTCAAATCACTTTATTCCATTCACAGGTCTGTCTTAGGTCGTGTGAAATAGTATTCCCTATATGAAGTCTGAACCATATTGTATAGAATAACTGTACTCTAGGATCTCTGTGCACTGTCATATTAGCATATTGCTTTTTAATCTCGTGTGAAGCACCTTGAGATGTTTTATTATGTTAAAAATGCTACATCAATGTAAATTATTGTTGCTGTACCATACTCTACCATACATATTATAAATTATTATGGTCCCTGCTGATGTTAATACTGGACATGTCAGATTCTAGAATGAAATGTGGCTTTGTCAGCCAAAAAAATTGGAAAGATCTTAACATAAAGAGCAAAATAAGAGTCAACACTTTATCTCAGCAATATCCTTTACATTCAACCACAGTGAAGTCTCACTTCAATCTTCGGTCATTAATTTCTTCCTTAACTAATGAGGTCACAAGTGTTTCCTTTAGGTCGCTTTCTGCACGGTCACCAGATGCAGTGAATCTATCAGACACACAGACAGGTTAATTCACTGGCCTCACAGAACTCCATAAGAAATGTACAGGGCTTTGTCCAGCCCTGAGTACTTGAACTGTTAAAACAGCTTGACTTCTTTCCTGCTCTGTTATCCTGGAAGCTGTCAAAACTAAGACTCCCCCTCTGGTATGGATGTTTTCTTCTTCCAAATGGAACCTTCTTGTGAACCTAACCTCTCTTGCTGTAAGTTGTAAAAATTCAACTTAGCAACTACTTCAGCAGTTGTCTCTTCAGGTAGCTTATCTCGTCATTTAGCTTAAGTCACACGCTTTCGAGGAAATGCTGGTTTGACCCGTATTAAAAGAAATAATTTTCCAACACATTAAAAAAAAGCTTTAACAGATCTAAAGTCAAAAACCTATTTACCTCAATTTTAGAATCCATGTTCCCAAACAAGAATAATATATTATGTCTCTATTACCTAACATAATTTCTGTTGTTGCAATTCAGAGACACCTTAAGTATCCACTAATAATGGAAATCTTGCAGCCAGGGGTTTGAGTTTCTTTGTTTGAGAAGCCAACAAAGGGAAGAAGTTACCATACTCTCTTGCAAAGAAGATATAAATTTGTAGATAACATAGTGTGGAGCTGGAGGTACACAGCAGGCCAAGCAGAGTCAGAGGAGCAGGAAAGCTGACATTTCAGGTCGGGACCCTTCTTCAGAAAATGAATTTTCTGAAAAATTTTCTGAAGAAGGGTCCTGACCCAAAATGTCAGCTTTCCTGCTCCTCTGATGCTGCCTGGCCTGCTGTGCTCCTCCAGTTCCACACTGTGTTACCTCAGACTCCAGCATTGGCAGTTCTTACTATCTCTGAGTGAGATATAAATTTATCCTGGTTTTCAGATGAAATGGAGGAGGGGTGCTCTGCATGCCAGTCTTATTCTCCCTCAGATTCTGTCCTCGTTGGGCAATTACTCCAGAACTCATGAATGTCACAGCAAACGCTGCAATCCTATCAGTTCTGCAATCCTGTTGCTCTGCTTCATTCCAGCAGCACTGCAACAATCAAATGGCAACATTCCCTTATAAAACTTGATGGCAGTCCAGGCTGCCCCTGCTCCCTTATGACAGGAAGCCCAGAAGAATAAGTAGAGAGCTGCCGAAGGGAGGGAGCATTGCCAGATAGGAAAGGAATCAGTTCATTGGAGTGAGAAGGAACAGAGAGGAAACCATAATTTCAGATGTTGGCTGACACAAGGGTGAAGACATTGGCAGTTTTCAATGTTATCTTGAACGTTTCAATCATTTTTTGGGGATGAAATCAATTCTTGGTGGGAGGAGATCTTTTTATACAAAGATGTCTTAGGACAAAGTCAGATTACTCTGACATGTTCTGTCGGCCTGCACTGCTCCTGAAGATTTTTTTAACGACACTCAACATTTGAAATCCAAAGCTGGTATTTCAAACAAGATTCTAAAAGCAACAAAGTACACATTTGCATGTAAGTTTACTTACTTTAAGCTAATGTCCAGTCAGCCAATACTGAAAAAGTTGGTACTGCCTGCAGCTGGTAGCTGGTGCAAGCTTCAGACATTTTTTCATGCACTGGCACTATTTTTTTTTTGCGTATGTTGGTTATAACACCAACCACAGCATTAGTAGATGCAATCATTAGTGCATCTATGAAGCTGGAGTTCATCCCTTTTAAAGAAGAGGTGGCTGAAAGGGAATTTGATAGATTTCCAAATTTGAGAGGGGTCTGGATGGATTAAATAAGAACAGACTGTTCCTATTAATGGAAGAACAGTACATGGCATAATACTCCTCTCCTAAACAAAGTCTGTTAACCTACCCAGCATCTGAGGACTTCACTGCAAGTGGTGATGCTTGTGATGAGAACTTATCAGTGTAGGCAATACCAGGCGCAAGTTCACATCCCACCAGCTTTCAATTCCTTGTAAACATGACAGTAGCTTGCCTTCGCTGGACTCGATCAGTCCATGATAAGTGCATGACCAGCAATATTTTGCTTTCCTCACGGGGAGAGGTGGTTCATATGATGCAGGTGTAAAACTACCATTCCTAAAGCGAAACTTGTGGCCATACAAAGTAGGAACAGCAATAGGCCATTCAGCCCCTCAAGCCTGCTCAATCATTCAAATAAGATCATGGCTGATCTAATCTCAACTCTACATTCCGCCTATCCCAAAACCCTTGGACACTCTTGTTAGTTAAGAATCTATTGTTTGCCTTTAAAAGTATTCATTGACACTGTGTGCAGAAGATAATTCCATAGATTCACAGCCCTCTTGGAAAAAATAATTTATCTCTATTTCCGTCTTAACTTTTAATTGTCGCCCCTAGTTCTAGTCTGCTGTATAAGGGGAAATATCCTTTCAGATTTCAGCCTATCAAGTTCTCTCAGATGTATCCTTTATCTTTTATGTTTCAATAAGATCAGCTGTTGTTCTTTAAAACTGCAAAGGTTTGCACAAACTCTCAGATTGTGCAAACCTTTCCTTGTAAGATAACCCCTTCATCTCGGCTATCAGTAAAGTAAACCTTCTCTGAACTACTTCTAAAGCATCTACAGCTAATCTTAAAGACATCAAAACTGGTCTTATCATTGTCCCACATAACCGAAGCAAAAGAAAATCCTACTTTTATATTGCATTATCCTCACAATAAACAGCAACATTGCATTTTGCTTCACACTTACTGTACCTGCACGCTGACTTTGTGATGCATGTACCCAGACTCCCAGATCTTTCTGTACCTCAAAGTTCTGGAACTCTTTCCATTTCAATTATATGCTGCTTTTCTATTAAGCGCTCTCCGTTTCAAATAGAAATTGTTTTTTTATCTTGTGCTTGTAATCTGTTAACCAGCTTTTTACCTGCTAAACTTTTTTTCCAATTTGTTAATAATGACAAAAACTCTTGCCAGTTTGGAAATTCTTCAGTATATTCTGTTGACTTGCCCAATGAAACCCCATTTAGGGTCACTTTTATGAATTAGATGATCAACATTTTAATAATTCTTTAAATTTAAACTTTTTGAATTTGTAATTCATTATCCCTCTACCTACATTTGGTGTAATCAACTCTCTGTTCTTCAGCTTCCAAAAGAGACTGCATTGAGAAATTTGGACCGAAGTCTGTGGAACGCATTATTAAGGATGATGATGCTATCTGTACCACGGAGTATTCACGTATTGTGCCTCTTGAAAATGGGGAGGTGAGTGTAAAATAGTTTTCGGGAAGTTGTTGGATTTGTGTTTTCCTGCTCTGGAGTTCAAATATTTCACATAATCCATTCTTTAAGTGAATGTCAGAAAGTTTCACACAGATTTTAGTTTAGGTTGTATTGCAGAACACATTTAAGATACCTTAAAGTTACAATGACCTTTGTTATAAGGGAAAATTGGATTAGCTAGTTGAAAATCCTACAATGGATGCAGTTTGTTTGAAATACTTCTACATAAGAGGCTGATTGGGTGTCCAGGTGAGTTTCTAAACGGAATTGTTTCTTTTTCATGCTTGTTGGTGTATTATTTGAGTTACCTCAATAATGGAAGATTAATAAGTGGTGATGTTAAATATTGCCATTCCTACTTCTGAATTCCCATCTTAGATTGTAGTTTCCTTGGTAAATGGACGACCAGGAGCCATGAACTTTTCTTATTCTCCTGTGCTCCGTGACTTCACCAAAGCTACTAATATCCGTCTGCGGTTCCTCCGAACGAACACCCTCTTGGGCCATTTGATGGGCAAGGCCTTGCGGGACCCAACTGTTACACGACGGGTGAGTGCAGACTTTGTCTGACTGTTTTGTTTACTGTTGGTACATGTGCCTCGAAAATACCAATAGCTTTTCCATCTCTGAATCATGAAGCCCATCAAGGTTTTGGCTTTCATACCATATCCAAGCTGAGTTGCAGGGTGACAGCAACGTTACTACAATCATAGTTACCATGGTTAGGGAAAGGTACAAGGTTTTCAACAAATAGGAGCAGGAGTAAGTCCATCAATCCCTCGAGCCTGCTGTGCCATTCAATAAGACCATGGCTGATCTAATCCTGCCCTGAATTCCACTTTCTGCTGACTTAACACTCTTTTAAGATTAAAACTCTGTCCAGCACAGCCTTTAAATATTAAATGACCCAGTCTCGACTTAAGAAGATTCCAAACACTAATTTCTCCTTTTCTCCATATTCGATAGAGAACCCCTTATTCTGAAACTGTATCCCAGAGTTTTGGATTCCCCACAAGTGAAATATCCTTTCAGCAGTTATTCTTGTCAAACTCCCTCAGAACCTTTATCTATTTTGATAAGATCATTTTTCATTCTTTTAAGGTCCAGTGAGTATAAACTGAATCTACTCAACCTTTCTTCAGATGCCAAATTTATTCTCATTTCATTGACAAAGGGACAGCTCATACTGGGAAGAATCTGCCAGCATTCCATTATCAAAGTCCATATTTTTGAATAATGATCTGTTGGGCAAAATACTCGTGATCAATCATGGTCTATTAAAGGTTACCCCAATTGTGAAAATCAGTTTCGCCAGCAGGAAGGAAGAAAATTTAATGATCTTGGGCAGGGTGAGGAAGCCTTTTTACAGAATAGGGTACTCTTCACATTTGCCACAGTCAGTTTACTTTCTGTTTGTGTGTGTAGTGGTGCTATCTTCAGCTACTTGTTCCTGTGATATTGTTCATCTTGTCGGTCTCTACTCCTCATTCTCAGTAAAATCACCCAGTGTGAATACTGTGCAGTTGTTTGAGATTCACAGTCTATAGTAGTTCTAGCTTATAAGGGCTACATAAATTCCACGTTGAACTTAAGTAAACTGATCAAAATATTATCATTTTCTCACTGAAAATCCCGTCAACAGGGGCCCCTGTTGATCTTAACTGAGTTGTTAATTCTTGCTCAAAGAGTCAAAGAGTCATGCAGCACAGAAACAGATCCTTTGGTCCAACTTGTCCATGCCGACCAGATATTCTAAACTGATTTAGTCTCGTTTGCCAGCATTTGCCCCATATCCCTTTAAACCCTTCCTGTTCATGTACCCATCCAGATGCCTTTTAAATGTCGTAATTGTATCAGCCTCCCCTATTTCCTCTGACAGTTCGTTCCATACATGCAGCACCCTCTATGTGAAAATGTTGTCCCACAGATCCCTTTTAAACCTATCTCCTCTCACCTTAAACCTCTACCCTCTAGTTTTGGACTCCCCTACCCTGGCTAAAAGACCTTGGCTATTCACCCTATCGATACCCCTCATGATTTTATAAATCTCTATAAGGTCGCCCCTCAGCCTCTGACGCTCCCGGGGAAAAAGCCTCAGCCTTTTTAAACCTTTCCCTAAAGCTCAAACCCTCCAATCCCAGCAACACCTTTGTAAATCTTTTCTGAAACCATTCAAGTTTAACGACATCTTGCCGATAGTAAGAAGACTAGAATTGAACACAATATTCTAAAAGTGGCCTCACCCATGTCCTGTACAGCCACAACATGACATTCTAACTCCTTTATTCAATGCATTGACCACTGAAGGCATGTGTGACAAATGCCTTCTTCACCATCCGGTCTATCTGTGACTTCACTTTGGAAGAACTATGAAAGTGCACTTCAAGGTCTCTTTGTTCGGCAACACTCCCCAGAGCCCTGCTATTAACTGTACAAGTCCTGCCCTGATTTGTCTTACCAAAATTCAATACTTCACATTTTATCTAAATTAAACTCCATCTGCCACTCTTTGGCCTATCTGATCAAGGTCCTGTTGTACACTGAGATAACCTTCGCCGTCCACTACACCATCAATTTTGATGTCATCTGCAAACTTACTTACCATATATACTCCTATATTCATTTCCAAATCATTTATGTAAATGATGAAAAGCAGTGGACCCAACATTGATCCTTGTGGTGTACCACTGGTCACAGACCTTCAGTCTGAAAAATAACCCTTCACTACCACCCTCTGTCTCCTAACTTCAAGCCAATTTTGGCAGAAATGGCTAGCTCCCATGGATTCTGTGATCTAACGTTGCCAACCAGTTTACCATGCAGAACCTTGTTGAATACCTTGCTGAAGTCCATATAGACAACTCTACTGTTGTGCCTCCATCAATTATTTTTGTCACTTCTTCACAAAATGTAATCAAGTTAGTGAGACACGATTTCCCATGCACAAAGCCATGCTGACTATCCCTAATCAGTTGTTTCCTATACAAATGCTTACAAATCCTACCCATCCGAATCCCCTCCAACAACTTACCCACCACTGACATAAGGCTTACCGGTCTATGGTTCCCTGGCTTTTCCTTACCACCTTTCTTAAACAGTGGTACCACATTAGCCAACCTCCAGTCTTCCAGCACCTCACCGTGGCTTTCAATGGTGCAACGGGCCCAGCAACCTCTTCCTCAGCTTCCCACAAAGTCCTGGGATACACCTGGTCAGGCCCTGGGAATTTATTCACTGTAATGCAGTTTAAGACGTCTGGCACCACCTGTTCTATTATGTGGACACTTGTCAAGATATCACTATTTATTTCCCCAAGTTCTCCAGCTTCCCTGTCCCTTTCCACAGTAAGTACTGCCGTGAAAATACTACTCGTTTAGTATCTTGCCCATCTCCTATGTTCCACACCTAGATGGCCTTGTTGATTTTTTTAAGAGGCTGTATTCTGTCCCTAGTTACTCTTTTGCCCCTAATGTATTGATAAAATATTTTTGGACTGTCCTTAACCCTATTTCTCATGTCTCCTTTTTGCCCTCCTGATTTCCCTCTCAAAAATACTCCTACTGCCTTTGTACTCCTGTAGGGATTCACTCAATCACAACAATCTGTACCTGACATGTGCATGAAAGATTTTGAACATTTATTTTAAGGGTATATCTTACAGAATATTTACATTTCTGAGCAATTTAAATGATGTTTCTCCAAGTTATCCCAATACTTCAACTGTGCAGTCTGCAACTTTGTCATATTTGACCCTAAGATGTGCTTGTGTCAATGCATCCATGTCACCTTTGAGTGTCTACTTAAATCACCACAGCTCCATCCCAGCCTGAGCTCATCTGCAGCTTCATCCAGGCCTTTGTTACCCATGCAGTTGATGACTCCAATGCACTGCTGGCTGACTTCCAGTGTTCCAGCTACTGTAAACTTAAGGTTGTCCAAAACTCTGCCTTACACAAACATGTCCTTAGTCAAGTCAAATCATGCTCACCCATCAGGAGATAGCAAGAAGTGCATATGCTGTAGTTAGAGACAACACCGTGTGGAGCTCGAGGAATGCAGCAGGCCAAGCAGCATCGGAGCAGTAGGAAAGTTGATGTTTCGGGTCGGGACCCTTCTTCACCCATCACCTGTTTGCTGGCTGACTTACATTGGCTTCTAGTTGAGTAAAGCCACAAATAAAAAAAAAACTTGTCCTTGATTTCAAATCCTTCCATGGCTTTAACCCTCCCTTTTTCTGTAATCATTTCCAGCCCTACAAACTCTTCAAGTTGTGCTATAATCTGTCACTGTGAGCATCTGTGATTTTAACTATTGTTGATGCCTGTATCTTTTAGTTGCCTAGCACCTAAGCTCTGGAATTTCTTCCCTAAACCAACTGCCCAAGTGGCACTTGCACACTGTTTAATGTGCTTTCCTTAGTTAAAGCATTCATTGCTATCTAACTAACTAGATGAGTGTGTTTTATCCATTGTAGTTTGTGTGTGTGTAGGCCTATATCCGCTGCAGCGGATGTCTTCTAATCGAGACATTATTGAGACTTACAAGATTCTGAGAGGACTTGACAGGTTGGATACTGTAAAGCTGCTTCCCTATGTGAGAGATTAGGACTAGGGACATAATTTAAAAATAAGGGTTCTTCCATTCAAGGCAGGGATTAAAAGGAATATTTTCTCAAAGATCCTGAATCTTTGGAATTCTATTTCCCAGACTGAGGTTGAAGCAAGCACATTGAATATTTTTATGGCAGAGATAGATAGATAAATTCTTGACAAAGAAGGGCATCAAAGGTAATTTGAGGTAGGCAGGAATGTGGAGTTGACGCCACAATTGGATCAATTACCATTTTACTGAACAGGCTGAAGACACACAGTGGCCTGTTCCTGCTCCTAGTTTGCGTGTTCATTTGTTTGTATGTAATTTTCCAGGATCCTTAATAGAAGGTAAAATATCCAAACTCTGAACTGAAAATGTTCTTTTCTTTCAGTATTACTACAGTATTAAGGATATCAGCATAGGTGGACGTTGTGTGTGTAATGGTCACGCTGATGTTTGTGATGCTAAGGACTTATCGAATCCATACCGGTGAGTATTGTATGATGTCCTGGCAATCTAGTAAGTTTCAGTCATTCTCTAATTATTGTTGGTTTCAAATGGAAGGCTATTTTTCTGAATACTTTCTCGGAGAATTTTATTAGTAACTAAAGAAGATTTAAAATCCGAAGAGTTTTTATTTTCTTTTTATTTCAGTGTTAAATTTATTAATTCATTTAAACATAGGGCCATGCTTCCCCTACCTTGTACTTCTGAAAATAAAGAATCACGTTCAGGGTGTCATTACCTTGTGTGGTACAAGCCCTTCAATGCTATGTCTAATTTTTGTCCAAGGTTCTTTGTGAGTTTAGTCTGAGATTATTTTATATTACATTAGACAACTAGGTAATACCTGATTCTTATGTGTGGGATCCACATACTTTCTGGTATTACTGGCTAAAGAGAGAAACTATTCCTTCTGATGTGAAAGTTCAGAGCAAGGAAGAAATGAGCACTAAATAAGAACAAGGCCATTCTGGGATAATGTGAGAAACCACTTTCTCACTACTGGTTTGTGACAATCTGGAACTCTTTTCCGCAAAATGCTATTGAGTCAAGGTCAATTGAAAAAGTTCAAAATTGAGCTTGGTACATTCCTGTTAGAACATAAAAAGGCTATGGAATTTTCTTTATTCAGTCATGGAACGTGGTGTCGCTGGCTGGCCAGCATTTATTGCTCATTCCTATTTGCCCTTGTACTGAGTCTCCTGCTAGGCCATTTCTGAGGGCAGTTGAGAGTCAACCACTTTGCTGTGGGTCTGGAGTCATATGTAGGCCAGACCGGGTAAGGGTGACTGTTTCCTTCCCTGAAGGGCAGTAGTGAAAAAGGTGGGTTTTTCTAACAATTGACAGTGGTTTCATGGTCATCAGTAGATTCTTAATTCCAGATTGTTATTGAATTCAAATTCCACCACAGCAGGATTTGAATCCGCTGTCCCCAGAACATTGGCTGAGTTTTTGGAATGATAGCCTAGCGATGATACCACTAGGCCATTGTCTCCCCGTTAAGTGAAACATAACCAAGGCTGATAATTGGGAGTCCCGATTATGACAGATATATATCTTATTGAATTGTGAAACGATTTAAGAGGCTAAATGGCTTACTCCTATTTACATGAGCAGGAGTGGTGAACACTGGTTGACAATGACTGCTCTGTAAGTTGGCTCAGGACTATTAGCCATCATTGTTTATTTCTTCCTCCACTTCCTGCACTCAGACCTTATGAGCAATCTGTGAATTAATGATTTACCAGGGTTAAATGGACATTTTTGCTTTTAAAAAGAGAGAAAAAGAATCAAATCTACTGTCAACAAGCATGTTGCTTAAAATTTAACCGGAGAAAATAAATGCTAAGAGCAAACAAAATACCTGCTTCTGGAATTTCTGGGAATTTGTAAAAGTGGAACCAGAAGGGAGACTGCATCTTGTTAAGCATCAAAGGCAGCTTACAGGAAAGAAATGAGGAAATTGGAGAGGGAAAGGCATTTTGATTAATGGAATATGATGGATCAATATTGTTTTTACATGAACAACTATATCACAGTTCTCTACCATCATTAACTTGGAGCAGAGACAGTGGGCTGAATGGCTTCCTACATCAGAACATTTCAGTGATTAATTCAATCAAGGATCAAACTCCTGTATGAAGTCATAGAAGTATGTAGCACAGGAGACCATTCAGCCCATTATACTCTCCACTAGCTCTTCTAACAGTTTGTTGTTCTGACTTGCATGAATCATTCATTTCACCCCCAGCGCCCAAGATCTTGTCTCTTGCAATTCAGACTGTACCACATCTCTCATTTATTTCCTTGCTTCAAGAAGCGATGTTTGCAAGAAGCAATGTGACCACTAGATATTTTGTTTAAAGTTACTGTGTTGAGTGAATAAATCGAATACCCATCGTGAAATGATGGCATTTTTAGCCCTGCTTTTGGGGATTAATTACTGTTTATTTTATTTTTCCTTCAGAAGATCAGTAGATCATTGTCCGTGCTTAATTTCATCTAACCACGCAGGAAGATTTGAAGGAAAAAGAGTTGTTCGTGTCTGTTTTTTAGCAAACAATCCAAACTCTTTCTTCAGTGGCACAGTTAGGTTTTGGAGTGTAGATGTAACAAAGAAAAGCAATAGCAGCATTTGCTGTTGAGGTTTTCGATACTGATCGTCTGTTCAAGGCTTGAAAACCTCTGGGCAGTGACCCAGAGGAGGCATTAATGCTGATGTCCTCATTGGCGGCATCGCTGAACCCACATTCAGAGCAAGTTGCATTCTTATTCATCTAAACTCATCCTTCATTTTTCTGTTCTTGCAGTTAGACGTTCGTTCTGTCTCCAGTCCAAAATGTCAGTAGAACATAGAACATTACAGCGCAGTACAGGCCCCTCGGCCCTCGATGTTGCGCCGACCTGTGAAACCAATCTGAAGCCCAGCTAACCTAAACTATTCCATTATCATCCATATGTTTATCCAATGACCATTTAAATGCCCTTAAAGTTGGCGAGTCTACTACTTTTGCAGGCAGGGCATTCCACGCCCTTACTACTCTCTGAGTAAAGAACCTACCTCTGACATCTGTCCAATATCTATCACCCCTCAATTTAAAGCTATGTCCCCTCGTGCTAGCCATCACCATCCGAGGAAAAAGGCTCCCCCTGTCCACCCCAGTGGAACTTTTTCAGTCTGTAAGTGGTGACCTTGTTCCATTCAATTACACAAAACCCATTTTTCAGTGGCTTTCCAAATAAACTCCGTAGCTTGTTGCTTAGGAATTTCTGAAACACATTCGGCAAGAAAACTGGGGCAAATGCCAAGCACAGCGTCTGAATTGTTTGCGGTTGACTTCATTCCCTCTAGAAAGAACTTAATCATTGCACTAACTTCAGACCAATACTTTTTCAAACTCTCAACCACATACGCGCTGAGAAATATACTTTTAAGTGATGATGCGGGCTAGTAGGGTTTTGTGAGCTACTGTTGGGATTTTCAGTTTGGCTTGATCTTTGCAAGTCTCCATGCCTCAAATGTGAAGCTGAAGCCAAGTCAGCAACAATTATCTTGTTAAATGAGTAGTGTACATAACATTGTAACTTCCCTTTCCTTTTAAAAATCTGTGGTTGAGTTGTCAAATTCTCTGAGCCACTGATTTCCAACTGGTTGATATGAAATGTTGATGCCATTCTTGATTGAGCAGGAAAACCCTTGACTCTGAAGCTGAAATTATGATTCTTTGAGGGTGTTTCTTCCAGGACCATGAGCAAAATAAACTTTCCTGTGAATTATAAATGTAAGTACAAGGGTCCAAGGCACCTAATCCAGACCATTACAACTTTAATCAATTGTGGAGTGATCCATGTCTCTGTGGGTAATTCTGGCTGGGCCAGCATTTGTTGCCATCAAGAAGGTGGTGGTGAGCTGCTGCCTTGAAGTGCTGCAGCCCTTCTGCTGTCAGTAGATCCATTGTACAGTTAGAGATGGAGTTCTGAGATTTTAGTCTAGTGACGCTAAAGGAATAGTGAGATATTTCCAAGTCAGGATGGTGAGTGGCTTGGATGTCAACTTGAAGATGGTGGTATTCCCATGCACCTTCTAAATGGTAATGGTTATAGATTTGGAAGGTGCTGTTTGAGGATTCTTGGTAATTTGGTGAGCTCATCAAGCATAAAATCTTCAAAGCAACAAAGGCTTTGACCAATTAATACTCCACAAAGGAATGTGTAATTTGGGAACTGGCAGTCCTTAATACTCACAACAACAGCAACTGAGGAAGGGTCACCGGACTCTAAACGTTAACGCTGTTTTTTCCTTCACAGATGCTGCCAGACCTGCTGAGCTTTTCCCGTAACTTTGTTTTTGTTCCTGATTTACAGTATCCACAATTCTTGTGGGTTTTTTTTTAGTCCTTAATGCTCTTCTATTTTCCTATCATTTAGCTTGCCTTATTTTTACCAGCACAAAGTCTGTGTCCTGAGTGGAGTGAAACCTGGACAAGGTTTCTGGAGGCAGTACCGGATCAGGTTAGTGGCCCAAACTGACCACATGGACACCTGTCACCTGTGGCAAGGCCTACACGACCATAATGGGATACAAAATGAAGCAGAACAAAGTAGCGGACAAAAACGCATCCCTCCCTTATGCGCTTATTGCTTTCTATGCTTGGTTCGAGCAGAATGCCACTGTCACCTGCCCTGACAGCCTTGGGTGCACTTGTTTCCCTTGTCACCGCTGCAGACAGCAGATCAGCCTTCCGAGAGTAAACCCGAGGAAAGCAACTGGTCCAGACGGAGCCCACGGCTGTGCACTCCGATCCAGTGCAGATCAACTGGCAGAAGTGTCGCTGACATCTTTAACCTCTCCTTGCTACAATCTGAAGCTTTAAGAAGACCACCATCATCCCAGTACCAAAGAAAGCACATGCAACGTGCCTCAACGACTATCGTCCAGTGGCTCTGACGTCCATAATCGTGAAGTGCTTTGAAAGGTTAGTCATGGCCCACTTCAATTCTAGCCTCCCAGCCTGCCTCAATCCCCTGCAAATTGCCTACTGGTGAAATCGGTCTACTGCAGACACCACTTCCCTAGCCCTACACTCATCCCTGGAACATCTTAGATAGAATAGATAGAATCCCTACAGTGTGGAAATAGGCCCTTCGGCCCAACAAGTCCACACTGAACCTCAGAGCATCCCACCCAGACCCATACCCCTATAACCCACCTAATCTACACCTCCCTGAACACTATGGGCAATTTTAGCATGGCCAATCCACCTAACCTGCAAATCTTTGGACTGTGGGAGGAAACCGGAGAACCCGGAGGAAACCCACACAGACACGGGGAGAATGTGCAAATTCCACACAGACAGTCGCCCAAGGCTGGAATTGAACCCAGGTCCCTGGCGCTGTGAGGCAGCAGTGCTGACTACTGTGCCACCGTGCCGCCCCTATAAGGGAGTCTCCACCGAGACTTGAACTCGGATCACAGGGTTCAGAAA